AGTATTTGAGGAAAGAACGTTTTTCAAATGCTTTGGGTACCATAGGCAGCAGACATCACATTTTGACTCTGAATCGCTGAGTTTGAGAACTCACACTGATTGTTTTTGTGACCAGCTTTATAAACATAGTTTAGCTCAAAAAATGTTGAAGTGAATTCAAAGAAATGGAAAACATGAACAATAATAGGGAATTTACACTCTACAACTGTCATTTTTTCCCAAGAATTCCTTGATCTACACAGTTTATATCTATATATATATATAAACGTATGTATGACTTGTTTGTGGATAGTTTTTGTTAGTTTCTTTATATTAGCTAAACTTCACTTTGCTAGCATTGTCTTTCTTTACTATGCAATAACTTTAGAAATAATATATGAGTCAATAAAAAAATGAAACGCTTTCGATTAGGATATCAGTATGATAGTCACCGGTTTGCAAAAGAAATTTGACCTTTCTAATTAATTTCCGATTTTGAAGAAAAAATTCTCATTGCTTCCGAATTTTGAAAACAAGTATTTCTGATTTTCAAGTTTTTGATCCTATGCCCGTAAATGAGACCCTTGAATAAGGTTGAAACGCGTCATACTTTTCTTGACATATCCATATTCGAGATATCTGACGATTCAAAAGTTTTAATATAATAATATATAAACACTGATCAGGGCTCTATATTACATATTTAAGCACTGAATAAAAACTAGGGATAAAAGGTAAACATAAAAACAAAAATAAAGAACAGAAAATGGGGCAATAGAGCTTTAAAATTCGACGTGGGGAAAATATTTTTTAACCGAAGATTAGAAATTGTTAGAATCTCGCGTACATTCGGTATTTTTGGTGTGGATGTGAATTGAGGTTTCATTTAAGAGATGACTCATACCCGCATTCAAATTGAAATTTAATTGTTATTCCGAATACGACTAAGCCTGATAAAATTATGCTGAACAGTATGATAAGCTGTCACCGTATTCAGTAATATTCTCCGATTCTTTCGCCACAATTCAGGATATGATAAAAGTGCAATGAATGGATAAAGTAATTGGACGATAAATGGCATTAAATAAATGTAGTTCACTTGTTCTTCGATAAGAAAATCGGGTAACCAAAATACATTGATTACTAAAGCCATATTTAACGGCATCCACAAAATAAGATAGAGAAGTGTAATGGATAATAATTGTAATGTCATCTTTCGATCACGTTTCCATTTGTAGGCTTGCAATTGCATAGAGCGTTTTTGCCAAAGAACTCGTATAAAAAGTGAAATAGATGCAATCGGTATGATTACAAATGGTAATCCAACGTTGACAATTGCTTCAATAGCTGGAAGTATTTTATCCATATAAAAACATGGCCAAAGACAGAAACGCTGAGAATAATCGTATATACTTTCACAAGGATAGATAGCGATAGCTCCGATGTAGAAAAACAATGCATAGAGCGGAATCAAAATCATCGGAGCATAGTGGGAACAGAGTCGTTTTACTGGTGAATTAGTGAGATTTATGTGAAATATAAGAATATGTCGTTCAATAGAAGCAAAAGCCATGATTAGCAAATTACTGGCACTGGTACTATAGAAAGAAATATTAGCATAGGAACAGAATAAATCCGATGGTGGCCAAGTATATGAACGACGCCAATAATCTTCGAGAATTCCCAAAACATTCGTATTGAAGAAAAGACTTATTACTAACAAGAGAAGAATAGTATGATTGGATAATGATTGACGTAAACGTGGATTGAATATCAAGTAATAAATGAGAAAGATTGTACAAAGACACGAAGGTACTTGAACAAGAGGAAAGATCACCAATTTGAGCCATCGTCCATTTTCCATCAATGGAATGAATACCGTGTCATTCGTAGAAGTATTCATCGCAGAACTCTTTTAACGTACTACTAACTATGAAGAACTGTCAAGAAAAAATGTCCTTTTTTCTAATGTGAAGAGACAATCACAGCATGATTAACTCGGTAACCTGAAACAAATTTGTTCTATTTTCTGAGTTCATTTTTCAATTCTTAGTGAACGAGAAGTACTGAACATGTGAAAATCTTACGGATCACATACAATGAATTACAGTGTTATTATATTCTGCGTTGCTTTGCTATTCTCCATCAAATATATTGTATCGATGATTATCTGTACAAACTAATGAGAAAGGATAACCTGTTATTTGTTACCGTAAAAAATCATCATCATCTTTTTACTGTCAAATTACTAGTGAATATTTTGGTATTGCTCACAGGAAATAAATGCATTTTTCAAGTATCATTATATTCTGATTGTGTCTTCGAAATAGAAAAAATATACTTACAAATTTTTGACACTAACAGAAATGCCAAATATGACGGAAATATGTTTCATCGATAGCTCATTTTCATTTATTGTTTCCTGTCAGTGACATATTGTATCATGACTTGTCAAAATAAATACTGCTTTTTGTTTTTCATAAGTCTCTATAGAAGCCAATAGGACAAAACAAAACAAAGACAAGGAATCGTTCGTAAAATGTTTGTCACACGAAATAGTTATTTGATAAAATTGGAACAAAAAAGAAGCATATTGCCATTATAGAAAAAAAATGTGATTCCAAAGTTAAAATGTAAACTTTTCATTTGATACTTGTATTGATACATTATAAACATCACTATTCGATATTTTGAATTAAATACAAATATTTGCAAATAGTCGAATCACAAACATTATTTATCATAATTGTCAAGCCACATATTTATTGTAGTTCAAGAGATAACTAAATGGTAACCTTTTCATGAGTACTAACCCTCATTAAAAACGAAGCCGTAAAACAAATACGAAAAACTGTATGTATAACGATGGCCAAAGAGTTTTCCTATTGAATTTGAATTAAAATTTGATGAACACGTTTCTTCGTTCACGCTTCATTAGAATAAATATTTGATTTATTCATATTTACTTTTCAATTAGGAAGAGGAATATACCGTTATCTTAAATCAATTAGCAAAACAAAATCTTTAAAGTAATCTATCACGACGATATTAGCTTTCAGTTTTTGATTTATGTTCGAACGTAGCCACAACGACACGGTGATCAGTGGTGTGATGAGTATCCACAATGAAGCATTCTTCCAATATCCACTGATCATTAAACAATAGACTTAGAAAGATATAACCGATACAAGTTTCATATAAACATGTTGCTACTTGTTTATATTTTAATTTCAGATTCATATATCGAAAAGCATCATAAAAACCCCAAGGATCTGCCAGCATCGATCATCATCATCAAAGTGATCTAGATGTGGAACTGCAAACGTTCGATTTTGAACGAAAGAATGATTACCATTTTTATACAACATCGAGCGTATCTATGTGGTTATGGATATATGTCTGGCTGGCTGGCACATCCATTTTTCGCACTTCAATGGTCCTGTAACAATCGAATCACTTATACAAGCATTTACTGACCACACTATTTCGGCTGATCGCATTTGCCTTCGAAGTTGCAAATTTAAGCATCACACTCAAGCCATTTCAATATCGTGGCTAAGAGATTCGGGATTCAGAATGCGCTTGATTCAATTGAAGAGCATCGATTCTAGAATTTTATGGTTTCTTAATTNCGTTCCGGAGGGTATTTGGTATTTTGGCTACAGCTCTTGAACAAGACGTCGTATAAATTTTGTCCAAGAGCAAAAAAGTCTTAGAAGTGACTATTACACAAGCCCTGAAAGTTTCAAACGATTTGGTGAATGTTGTGTTTTTTTGTCACAAGTACCATGGAAGTAGCCAACAATATTAATAGGAAAACAAGAAAATAGAGATATATGCAAATAGAGATTGAGGACAATGATTATATAAATATTCGTGGTAAGCTTTATCGAATGGCTCTCGGGTAGGAGTTAATAAATACAATGAACATAAACTAGTACTGACATGATTTCAAAAATCAAATTTGAAAAAGAAATAACCGCAAAAGTACAATTAAAAGATATTAATAGGAGCTTTCTCTTTAAAATCCATTTGAACGATTTGATTCAGTATTACCACAAACTAATTAATAGAAGTAACATTAGAAATCTTGAATAGCTTCTCGAAACAATATTTACTCAAACATATAAATTCGGTTAACTTTTCTTTTTTCTTCCAAACAATGCCGTATTTGTTTATCCTTCGGACAAAGAAATACCCGATAGGAGTCAAAAATATTGATCATTATGCTCTCGAAAGACATTTATATCTTCGCTAGGATGTATAGGTGTATGACTAGCACGACTGTTGATTTCACCGGGTGATATTCACCGTCTCCATATTTCAAAGATTCTTAAACATGTCAGATTATTTTAATGATTCACAAGATACGTTCAAATTCGACTAGATCAATCTTACTGTGGATTATCTTATCAGTTCGTGTTGCAATGTTAATTTACCAATTGTAAACGTTCCAAAGAAAAACTCTTAAAAAGACAGACTAATAGTGTACTAATATGAATGGAGATATTTTATGTTTTTCATAATTTAAATTATGAACAAAACTATGATTATATGGACTGATCGATAAGTCCATAAGAGTTTGTTCGTACCATACATAAACTTTCATCGCAGAAAATCGGCAACTGGTTATAAGCCAATGGGCACAACTGCCCAGGTTGAAGATTTCCATAGAAAGATCAAAAAAAGGAGCAATGAAAACAATATTATTGAGCATGCCGAAGAAGGAAAGAGAAATGCTCATGTGCAGAGAGAAGTTGAAAGTAATTGCGCCATGTACATTAATGAGAAGGAACAATCATGGTTATATTTATATCCAACTGTTTGTGTTTCATTCAGTGTATTTATACATGTATCTGTTTAATCCTTTCTGCTTCATTCTATGATGGGTGACATATTTAATAAATAATAAAGATTAGAAGAATATTTAGGAAATTTATAGTATCAATATAATGAACTAAGAATGTGGTTGTGACTGTATCTGTATCTGTGAACCTTCTCTTCATATTCATATCTTCACAATGATATCAACAATAGTAATGTATGTGGCTTATAGAAATGAATACGAGTAGACAGCATATGGACTATTTTATTGTAACTTTGTTTATTGCTGATGAGTTCTCTTTTAAAAAATGAGACACAATTTTCTTCGACAATGCATACGGCTTTTCCAAAAGTATATCATTCGGAGATGGAAATCAAAGAGCATTACATAATTTATTGTTCAATCTGCGGACATGGGTCCTTACATAACGATCAGTAATAAATGAAACAAGTATTCACATCACTTTTTATTCTTCTTTATTTATGTAAAATCATTATTCTTACATTTTCTTCATATTTATTTGAAGGTCGGATGAAGTTTTAGTTTTCATTGTATAATTAAAAGAAAACAATACTTTTTCATTTATTCTCTTAAGGTGCCTTTTTATTGAGAAATAACGTAGGATTTAATTTTTTTTTCTTGTCACATTATATATACACGACAGAGCAATTCGATTAACTATTTTTTATAAAATGCATCAATCTTGTTCCCTAAAAAAATGCATACACATGTCACGTGGTTTGTGTCATTGTTGCCAGCAAAATCTGTGCTTACAACATTTTAATGAATACAATAAATTATCCATTTCTCATCTAAATCAATTTAATAATGAAACGAATATACTTGACGATCGTCTTAAAACATTAAATATTTTTAAAATAATTGGTAATAGTCGTCGAAAGCTCGAACAATGGCGTGAAGATTGTTATACTAAGATAGACTTATTTTTCGAACAAAAATGTCAAGAACTTGATCGACTTGCTAATGAAAAAGTTAATCAACAAAGAGAAGAACTCAATCGAATACAAATGAAGTTAACTGAACTCAACAATGCACAAAAAACAACTCATCAAGATATCGATTTATTGATATCAAAGATGAGTCAGATTAGAAGCAGTATAATGGATTTAGAAGAAACATGTTTCAAAATCACTACTCATCCATTAATACTAGATGATACGTTCATTGATATTAAGAAAATGAATGAACATGAGGTTAATTTATCGAGTCTTTCGCATATATACAAAGCTATTCATCGTCCTGAAGGAGGTTTTCAATCATTAGCTTGTGACGGTCAACATTTACTGATACATCAACATCCAAATTTATGTTTATTTGATCGAGATGCGAATATAGTCACACAAACTGTATGGTCATACGGTGAAATTCGTGACATGTGCTGGTCGGTAACCTTAGATCAATTTATTGTTCTTGGAGCAAATAGTATCTTTTGCATTAACGAAAATACAATGTCTATACAAGAAGTAGATACCATTCGAGAACAAGATTGGATATCATGTACATGTTCTGAGACAGTTCTTTTTGTTGCTACAAATGAATGTGCTTCATCGATTATGGAATACATACTATTTCCAGCAATTGAATTCGTTAGAGAACGAAAACATCCTCTCGTATGTAAAAAAGATGAATTTATCGTTGGCGTTGTTTATAATAATGCAAATCTTGCTCTTATGGTTATGAATATGTTCAAGAAATCCATACACATGGAACTGAGAAATGCTAAGACATTGGAACGCATCTGGTTATTTCAACCTGATATTGTTTGTACGCAAAAAATAGCATTCCGATGTTGTTCGCTTACTTGTGATCAATGGCTCATTGTCGACTATGAAACCGGACGTCTTCTTCAGATAGCAAAAGATGGAAAAATTAAGGAAACAATGAAGTACTATCCATGTCCATATCGTGCTATTCTTTTCGATCAAAATAAACTTGCACTGTCGACAATGAACGGTGTACACCTTCATACAATTCATTCGCACGAATGACTACTTTTATTTTAAATTTTCTTTTCTTTTTTTTTCCGATAAAAAACGAACGTTACTCAAATATTATATCATAGTGAGTAGATTTTTAAGATGTATCAATTTACAATATATACTTTTATTTTCTTGTGAATATGTTAGAAACATCGATATTCAATTCATTAATAAATGTACATGTAGAAGAAATCATATTTACTTAAATGTTTGGAATATAAATCAAATATTTTGAATTTAAGAGATCCTTTTCAAAGTTTTTGTTTTTCAGCTTGACATCTCACGGCAAAGATTCCAGTTCGATAGATTAAGTCTACGAGAAGTTATTCCAAAAATATAGATCAAATCATGCATTCAAGATGCATCTTTTATTTCAAATATTAAATATAATGAAGTATTTTCTTAAGTGAAACCCTCATATCCTAGTCTGCTTTAACTGAGTCCATTCTTTTTCGATTTCCTTGTACTTTGTGTTCTGTAGAAGCTTCAATCATTAAGCATTGAACAAAGGTAAATGTAAATACTTGATTTTATGTTTGATTTTGTTGTGTGCTTAACTTAGATAATACTGGCACCATGTAATCTCATAAGTTCCTACAAGATGACTTGAGAGTTTCCTAAATTGATCTTTTACAATTACCACTACATAGTTCTTATAGTTGCATTGTTTGTTCAGAGGCTTGAAGCTTTAGGCGTTGGATTTATTTTGAGATTAATGTTATGCCACCAAAAATGCACTTTTTTGAATTATTACAAGATAAAAAACTTAGAAACTTCGATTAGAATCTAATCAGTCAGTAACTAACCCTAATGCAA